CACACACACACACACACACACACACACACATATATATATATATATAAACTTCCAAATATGTGCAATATATGAAAAATATGTAAATATATGTGATGACTTCCCATAACAGACAAACATAAGTACGTATATGTGCTGCATATGTAAATATATGCAAAGTGGCCAATTTTTAATATTAAAATATAAGTTAAATATATTGTAGACATATATATATCTAGTTCATATATTTAACAAGCCTTAGTTACCTGATCACAAACAAAACTCTAACTCAACTAATTACATACCATACCCAAGGTGTCATTTTATATTTGCCAATAAAGCAGTGTTTCATAGTCTGCCCTGATAATCTACTGATATTAAGTAAGTGACCGAACTAAGTTCCGAGCATGGCAGTCTAATAAGGCTTCTATTTCATGTCGGCTTAAAATGCAAATCAGAAACTCTTCAGTCAGAGGCACATAGCAGGTAAACCTACTTGCTATTAGAGTTATACTCGCGGATCTTGTCTAAGAAAAGCCTTTGCACAGGGTCGAGGTCCTTAGCTCGGTTGAAGGCCACGGCAGATATCCCGATGTTCCTCCGCAGAGTTCCAGAAATCGCAGAATGCAGCAACTTAGATAGCTGGAACAAGCGATTTAGTGCCATACTGCCAAAGATGGAGAAAAGGGTTGTCATTGTGAAGGAACTGCAGTTATGCAGAGAAAAATCCAATAGCACATGCATTCCGGCTTATTAAACCCTTTCATTTTAAATCATTTTAAAATTTATTTATGTAAATAAATTTTTTCACACAAAAATTACCGTTATAAATACCGCGGATGTCAAATAGACGATGAATGTAGTGCTTCATTTTTAAACCGATTATCAAAGTCAGTGTCTGACCTTCAAAAATATTATAACTACCTATCAAGTCAATGTTATGGTTATTGAGAAGTCACGAAGTTACGTCAGCGTTTCATTGACGTTCGCACCAAAAGATTCACAAAGACATGCATTATTCCAGAACATTTGATAAAAGCTACCTATCGTTCATCTGGTTTGAACCCCTCGGTAGAGCCGCCCCGACTACTCAGTCTACTGCTCAGCTAGCTAAATTAATACAGCTCGCACTAGGAGAAACGCTTGAAAACGACTATAAAATAAAATGGAGGTTAGAACTTCAATTATAAACACTAAATAATATCCATAACACAGATCTGCCTAACTAAATGAACAAGAAAAACATTCCTTAAAAATACACAAAGTCACCTTGTATATGACAGACGTCCAATGGAGGCACAACCGGAAGCCAGAAGAAGCGCAGTACATAATGGCTAAGCAGTGAAGCTGGCAAAAATAAGAGGGAGACTTCCGGTCGCTATATGCGCTTATTGTGTCAAAATAAAAGTTCGGTTTTAATAGGCGATTAATCCATTGAATGGTGAATTATGTGCAAGAATAATAATAAGTGCTGTGATATATTATACTTACATCGCCAAATTTGATCATAAATAAAAGTAAATGTATAAAAAGATTGAGAAACTTATAAATTTACCTTATTTTATACCTAAAATACGTAAATTAGTTTTGTTTATTACACAGCTTTCCTTACTTATTTTAAGTAAATTTTAACCATCCAAGATAAAAAAAGTAAGAGAACTGCACAAACATTTACACCATATGAAACCTAGTCCCCCCAACGCGCAATTAGGCCTGATTTTACATAGGTAAAATGTACATGCATAAAACACAAATAAAGGATTGTGTCAGCTTCAAACCTAGTTAGGTACATTCTACTAAGCCTCCTTGAATAGCAACAAGTGCCACTTCTATCAAATAAGCGTCAGCAAAAAGTTTGCTGGGTTTGGAACATAGTGTCCCCAACGTGCAATTAGGCCTGATTTTACATAGGTCAAATGTACATGCATAACACAAATTTAAAGGATTGTGTCAGCTTCAAACCTAGTTAGGTACATTCTACTAAGACTCCTTCAATAGCAACAAGTAAAGTAGTGCTCCATGCTACTCCGGTCTGTGTTTTTTTTAAATCGTGCACGACTTAAATTTAGTCTAATTATGTCCATGCCACCATGCGGATTTAGATATAACACAATGTATGTGTAAGAAAGTCACTCTTCCCGATTTATGTAATATGTTTCAGGTCTGCTTCTTGTTAATTGTCGTATTTCATCTGCATATGTAATAAATTTAATGAACACCACTCTCACATGTATTTAGCTTACTGTATAGTATGGTCAGTTTTACCTGTCCCAGGTGTGAGTGTGGCTTGTTTATGTTAATGTTATTTTAATACACCCTAATTTTGTTCCACTGGGAGCACACTAGAAACTTATTATTTCTCAGTTGTGATTTTGTAAGTTCCTGGTTGATGGAATGTTAGTGGGACAAAATAAAAAATTTAAAAGAACATCACAACAAGCTTTGATTGTAAATAGTGTTACGAGCCAGTCTTGGCCGGGCCACAACATACAAAAGTGGATGAGACCAGAGATAAGTTTACGGTATATTTAATTAGTGCTCTTTGTGTCCCAAGTGGTTAAAGTCTTCAGAAGCCGACAAGGCCAAAATAATAAACAAAACTACCTCTACCTATTAAGAAAAATAGACTAACTTACCTAATCCAAAGAAAAGAAATATACACCATCTACCCTCACTCCCTGTCTAACCCAAAACCAGGAGAAAAACAGAAAGTCATTCACAAAAAGTCAGTTCACACACAGATGTACAAACAACAACAGAACAGGTCTCTCTCTCGAGGTGTCGTCGGACGAAGCTTTAGAAGTGGTCCCATGTACAGCCAACCCATCCCAACACAGGAGGCCAGAACAATATAGTGATCATCCACTGGGAGGAAGGACACATGGCAGTAGGCAGGGCCTGCACAGGGAAGACACACCCATCCCACCACCAGCACAAACACCCAAACAGTAAGAACAATATACTGGTGGTCGTAACAAATAGGTCTAGCCATTTATTTGAAAAAACAACCATTAAGCAAGTCATTTAGTTTTTTAAGGTTAATAACTATTTAAATAGAACAAAAAGTTTCCGTTTTAATTTTAGAATCAGTGTCTAACATGGAAGACGAAAGAAGTGGTGTATTAATCAGGTAGTATAATACTATGTGTTCTTAATTCATATTCTATCATTTTCCTCTTGTCTTCTGCAGAAAGCATGGTATAATTGCCACCGAACAACAATGTCTTTGCAAATAAGGAAACATATAAACCACAGCTGCTGTTGTCTGTCTGTTTTTTAAAAAATGGACAATTATGGAAAATTTCTATCTCAAATTGTAACTGTATCACATCATTGTACAGTATGAGATACTGGGCAAATAAGAATTTTTGCAGTGCTTTGAGAATTTGTTT